TCTCTCCCGGGAACTTCATGGTCCCTTGAGTAACCCTGGAGTGATCTTCAAGTATTGCCTCAGATCCCCTCAAGTATGACCCAGATGCCTTCTCTGGAAAAACAGTTGCTAATTCTTAACACTGTAAACAGAAGTAGGCATCAAAGTTCAATATCCACAGTTACTTAAGAAATAAGTTACATAGACTGAAATTAAATGGTAGTGGTACTATCTGCTGACTTTTCATAAATTCATATTACCTGTCAGGATGTAGATATTTCCTGTCATTAAAAAAGACTGTCTCCATCTGACCTGGCAGCTATTAAACAAAGACTATTCGAGGAAAAAGCAGATAAGATTATCTATGTGGTGGACAGTGGACAGTCTCTGCACTTCCAGATGATATTCAGTGCCACGCAGATGATCTGGTGGTACGACCCCAAAATGAGGCGGGTATTGCATACCGGATTTGGCGTGTTGCTGGGGGAGGACAAAAAGAAGTTTAAAACCCGTTCTGGTGAAACAGTGCGCCTCATAGACATTCTGGAAGAGGGGCTGAAGCGATCCATGGACAAGTTGAAGGAAAAAGAAAGAGACAAGGTCTTAACCGCAGAGGAACTGAGAGCCGCTCAGACGTCTGTTGCTTATGGTGTATTAAATATGCTGATCTTTCCCATAACCGCTTGAATGACGACATCTTCTCTTTTGACAAAATGCTGGACAACAGAGGGAACACGGCTGCCTACTTGCTGTACGCCCTCACCAGAATCAGGTCCATGGCCTGTCTGGCCAGCATCTGTGAGGAGATGCTCCGGAAGGCTGCCTGGGAGACCAGGATCGTCCTGGACCACGAGAAGGAGAGGAAGCTGGGCCGATGCATCCTGTGCTTTCCCGAGATCCTGCCGAAGATCCTGGATGATCTGTTCCTGCACACCCTCTGCGACTACGTCTACGGCTGGCCACGGCCTTCACGGAGTTCCACGACAGCTGCTACTGCGTGGAGAGGGACCGCGAGATGGGCAAAGTGCTGAAGGTGAACAGGTGGCGGATGCTGCTGTGCGAGGCGTCGCTGCCGTCATGGCCAAGGCCTTCGACATCCTGGGGATCAAGCCGGGCCAGAGAATGTGAGCCTGCAGGGCAGACGCCGACTTCCCCAAAATGGCCATTAGCACTCCTCGCCTTTTTTTTTTTTTAATTACGGTCGTGTGATTTGCCGACCAAAAAAAAAAAAAAAGGACTGTCTCTGTATATTCATCTACAACTTTGAGAGGAAGCCATTTTCCATCACAGATTTGGTTTTGCCTCTTTCAGAATATGAAAGTGGATGCATAATACAATATACATAACTATACGTCTTCACGATCTTTTTTTTCCTTCCGTTTTTTGGGCCACACCTGAAGTTGCTCAGGGAGATGCTGAGAGGCGCTGCACTCAGGAATTACTTCTGACAGGGCACGGGGGACTGTGTGGGATGCTGGGGAGGGAACCTGGATCAGTCACATGCAAGGCAGGTGCCCTGACCTCTGTACTATCGCTCTGGCTCATCGTGCTCCATTAAAAAATTTTTTTGTGTGTCTCTTTTTTATCTCTTCTTTGCATTAATCTTTGAATCAATCACTCTAGGATTATTTCATTTTGCTTTCCCCCAACCCCCCATGAGGGGTTTGATATTCATTTACTTTTTGTTGTTGTTGATGTTGTTTTGGATTTTTGGGTCACACCCAGCGATGCCTGGGGGTTACTCCTGGCTCTGCACTCGGGAATCACTCCTGGCGGGGATGGGAGGGGGGAGAATGACACTGGGATGCAGGGGATCGAACCTGGCCTGGCCTGATGCAAAGCAAACACCCTACCCCATTGTACCATTGCTCTGGCCCCATCACTCTTTTTTTTTTTTAGCAGAAAAAAAATAATTATTAGTGAAAGCATAATTTGAATTTGAATATAATAAAATGCAGTCACCTATGGGAGACTATGATTCTTAGTCTTGTCAGTGGCTGTTTATATCTACTTTTTTTTTTTTGGCTTTTTGGGTCACACCCGGCAATGTTCAGGGGTTACTCCTGGCTCTGCACTCAGGAATCATTCCTGGTGGTGCTCGGGGGACCATATGGGATGCCGGGGATCGAACCCAGGTTGGCCGCGTGCAGGGCAAACGCCCTACCCGCTGTGCTATCGCTCCGGCCCTGTTATTCACTCTTAACTACTTGTATAGTAGAAGAATCTTGTAACACTGTAATTCCAGCCTTCTGTCTTCATTTTGTCATTTGTGCTATTTTATGTTAACTGTACTTTCTTTATCAGCCCTTTATGCAGCTAAGGTTTTTAGTCTGCAAACTCATATTTGACTCAAAGGGAACCTGTGCATTATTACAGACGTTATCTGCCACTTTCAGCTTTCTTCACTAATTGCTTCTTACAGATCCTAGTTTCTTTCTGTCATTTTTTTAGGGTTGATGAATTCCCTTTCTGGGGTGTTGGGCGGTGAACACCCAGCAGTGATCAGGTCTTAGCCCTGGCTCTGCCCAGGGATCACTCTTAGAAGTGTTCACGGAGCCCTGCGAGGCACCAGAGGTTGAACCCACAGCGGCAGTGTGCAAGGTGAACTCTTCCTGCCGTTTTGTATCTCCACCCCCATAATAGGGCTGGAGCGATAGCACAGCGGTAGGGCGTTTGCCTTGCACGCAGCCAACATGGCCGACCCGAGTTCGATTCCTCCGCCCCTCTCGGAGAGCCCGGCAAGCTACCGAGAGTATTCGATATGCCAGACACAGTAACAACAAAGTCTCCAATGGAGACGTTACTGGGCCCGCTCGAGCAAATCGATGATCAACGGGAGGGCCTTTACTTTACTTTACTTTTACCCCTACAATACTATTACAGGTATGGGTTCATGCACGAAGCATTCCAGCACCACACCCTCCTCCAGTGTCTACTTTCCTTCACCACTGCCCCAGGGTCTCCCCACCCCTCCACCCTCCCCTTTCCCTCCCAACTCTCCACCTGGGTAAACTTCCTACTGAGCCAATTCTATAGCCTCTGGACATTTCTTAGCCCCTGCTATGTCTCTCTCTCTCTCTCTCTCTCTCTCTCTCTCTCTCTCTGTACGTTTGTGTGTACACACATGTACTTTTCCTTTTTTTGTTTTTGTTTTTGTTTTTGACCATATCCAGTGGTCCTCAGTGCTTACTCCTGGCTCTGTGCTCAGGTATCACTCCTGGTGGTACTTGGGGGACTGTGTGTGGTGATAGGAGATAAGGGATAGACATAGAAAGATTGCATTCATCTGGGGAACATAAAGTAACAAAATAGGAGACTAACACCCAAGAATGGCCGAGATTAGTACCAGGAATTTTACTCCATGGCTTGGAGGCCAGCCACACATGCTAGGGGAAAAGGGAGCTCAGATAGAGAAGGGAGCACCAAATCAAGGGTGTTGGGAGGATCCTCCCAGGATGGGAGAAGCATGCTGAAAGTAGACTATAGACCAAACATGATTGCCGAGTCACTCATTGCCTCTTTTGCAAACCACAACACCCAAAAGGAGAGAGAGAGAGAACAAAAGGGAATGCCCTGCCACAGAGGCAGGGTGGGATGGGGGTCCGGGATTGGGAGGGATGCTGGGACCCGTGGTGGTGGAGGATGGACGCTAGTGGAGGGATGGGTACTTGATCATTGTATAACTGAAACCCAAGCACAAAAATTTGTACGTCTACAACTGTACCTCATGGTGTCTTTAAAAAATAAATACATTAGAAATAAAAACATGCAAGGCAAAAGCCCTTCCTGCTGTATTGTTGCTCCTGTTTCTGTGTATTTTACACACAGGAGAGATCTATCCCTTTCCTGAATAACTTGACTCAGCATCTCATTGTGTGTATAGACTGTTGTTTCTCTATTCAGTGCTCTGTTCTTGGACAGTTGGGCTGCGACTGTGATTTGAGCCACTGAGATTTGAGTGACTGTGAACATAGGAGTACAGATATCTTTTCTGAGAATAGAGTTTTGAGCCCTTGGGATAGAGGCGAAGAGATGGAAGTCCTGGAAGCTTGGTTTCTAGTTGTTCATGAGTTTTCCAAAAAAGTCTAGAACAGTTAGCATTCCTACTAGCAGTTATCCAGGCCAACACTGGTTATTTTTCTCCTTTGCGATGTGTGCCAGAGTCTGGTGTAAGATGATTATCTAGTTGTTTTAATTTGCATTTCCCTGATGATAAGCCATTCAGGCAGCGCATTTTTGTTTCTCCCCAGCTTGTGTTAAGTCATTCAGCAGTTGTCTTACTTGTTTGACCATACCTTACTATTTCATACCTCTGAGCCCTTGATCTTGTTTTTTGCCTCGATTTTCTTATTTTAACTTGATAAAATTCAGTTTGCGCTCTAAAATAAAAGTTTAGTAGCCCCTGTTGTTATCTTTCCCTCATTCTTCATTCCTCTTTACTTTTTTGGGTCACACCCAGAGATGTTCAGGGGTTTCTCCTGGGTCTGCACTCAAGAATCACTCCTAGTGGATGGACCACATGAGATGTCGGGATCAAACTCGGTTCAGCTGCATGCCCAGCAAACGCCCTACCCACTATGCTGTCTCTCTGGCCCCTTATTCTTCAAAATTTTTAATTCCCTGCAGTGTGACTGTGTAACATTGTGCATGATTCGATTACTCAGCTTTTCATGAAATTATAATTCCCTGTGTAGGTGTTTGACTCCAACGATAAGTTGCAGGTACTTTAGGCATTGCTTATATGTCGGTAATTATGTATTTTGTGCTATGTCAGTAACTGAATTACCATGTAAAGCTGTATTGATGGAGACATTATGAGAAGATATATGCTCATTATCGATTGTTGTGTTGACTGGAATGTCTTCTCAGTTTACTTAAAATTTCGAATATACTTACGAGGTCTTTGTTTCTTAAAAATGAAGTGATTTATAATCTAATTGAAATGCCAATGAACAAGTTAGAGACTTTCTAAAGTCTGTTTTAGAAAGTGTTTTTCAATGTGTTTTCATTGCCGTTAACAGAATCCAACGTGGCGGAGTCTTGATTTTAGAATAATGCCGGATCATCTTGATACATCTGTGTCTTGTTTCGTGGTGAAGATATGGGGTGGAAAGGAGGACGTCTACCAGCTGTTGATTGAATGGAAAGTCTATTTGGATGGGCTGAAATATTTGGGTCAGCAGGTAATTCAATGACAATTAATGAACTCGAGTTTCACAAAATTATCTTCTGTAAATTAGTCTATTGATTCTCTGACTACTTTTTCTGTTATAGGGACCTTTTATAATTGTTCACTTGAGAAAGAAATTTAAGTGGTTGTCACTGAAATGATTAAAGAAATGATTTTAGGGCTGGGGAATTGGCTTAGAGGGCTGAGCACATGCTTTGTAATTGCAGTAGTGACTCCCAAGAGAACCAGGGAGTTGCCCCTTAGCTGTGCCCTGCTGTATGTGATCGCCTGCCCTGCCCCAAGAAATGACTATTTTTTTTTGGGGGGGGGGTGGTGGTAAGAGGAGGGCTTACTTACCTATTGGTGCTTATTTCTGGCTCTGTGCTCAGGATTTACTCCTGGTAGTGCTTGGGGGATCATATGGGATGCCAGGGATTGAACCCAGATTGGCTACTGTAAGTCAAGCACCTTTTCCTCAGTACTATCTCTCCAGCCCCGGGTTTTCAAATACTTTCAATTAAAATTTTTGTTATATTTAAATAATGTGGTTATAGTAATAGTACTGTTTATGGTTTTTGTTGTTGCTGTTTTTGATTTTGGGGTCATATTCAGTGATGCTCAGGGGACATTCCTGGTTGCTGTGCTCAGGATTGACCCCTTGGCAATGCTTGGGGACCATTGTTCATTGTTGGAGGTTGCTAGGCTTTGTCATACATGCAAGGCAAATCGAGTTAACCCCTGAACTCTGGCAGGCCCCAACGTTTTGATGTAAAGGGACTTTTTTTTTTGTAATTTTATGGAATCACCATGAGTTAGCTACAAGCTTTCTTTTCTTTTTCTTTTTCTTTTTAATGTAGGAGTATTGCTAGTTATTCAGCCATTGATTAGGCTGATTGAATTGGGCATGAACGCCACCTTACTCCCCCCCCCCCCCCCCCCCCCCTTTTTATAACTTTATTTAAAGTCTCGGCCACACAATGAAACACCCATCCCTTCACCAGTGCCCACTCTCCACCACCAAAACCCCCAGTATATCTCCCACCGTCCCACCGTAACCCTCCCCCCACTTGTGGGCAGATGATTTTCATGTTACTTTCTCTCTACTTTGATCACATTCAATATTTCGACATCAGATCCACCGTTATTATTTGGAATTTTACCCCAACACTCAGATCTGCCGAAAAGGCAATAGTAGACAATTTGTTTTCTATTGCTGGCTATGAATAACATATGATGTTGTGTGGCTGCAGTAGTGGCCGTGCGATTTTGGATTTCCGAAATTTTAACAATTAAATCTGGAGGGATTTCTGCCGAAACCTGCTGGGTTCTGAGATTTGTTCCTGAGTCTCTGGGATCATGGGTGGCTTGATCAGGAGCCAGAGAGGCCATTCATGGGTGGCGACTCAGGGTCTTGTTGGGGTGGGGAGGAAAGGACCTTCTCCACCCCCATCCTGCGAGACCCTATGTGTCTTGTCATTGTGGCCTCTGGCGAATGGTGGCCACTGAGCCACCAGGGGAAAAAGGCCAAGGCACGAAACCTATTCCACCTGGGGTGACCTGGCACTGGTAACCTACTGCAGGGACCGGACGCATTTTTGCCAAAAGGTGCTGGGTTCCAAGATTTGTTTCTGAGTCTCTAGGATCATGGCCGTTAAGCAGCTTGATCAGGAGCCAGAGAAGCCTTGCCTCCAATTACATAGCTGAGCCAGAGGTGGTTTGTGGGTGTGTCTCCCACATACCTAAATTTTGACTGTTTACTTTCTTGGTAAACTTTGCCCCAAGTTGTTGGGATCTGGCCAAAGGCACAGCAGCAATTTGGGGGTATCTGGAAGTCTGAAGGTGCCATCAGGCTGCTGATGCACTCGCCTCACAGGTACAGATTGACCTGCTGGCGGCACCATACCCCCAATTATAAGCTTTCATGTTTGAGTTACAATCACACAATGATCAAACACCCATCCCTCCACCAGTGCACATTCTCCACCACCAATATCTCCCGTATATCCCCCCCCTCTCCTACCCTCCCACTACTTCCATGGCAGACAATATTCCCTATACTCTCACTCTACTTTTGGGCGTTATGGTTTGCAATGCAGATACTGAGAGGTTATCATGTTTGGTCCATTATCTACTTTCAGCACACATCTCCCCATCCCGACTGATTCCTCCAGCCATCATTTTCTTGGTGATTCCTTCTCTAAGGGGACTTTTTTTTTTAGCAGACTGGTGGGTGGAAGTCAAATGTTGTGGAGGGCATTAGTAAAGGGAAGTGGACACTGGTGAAGGGATCAGTGTTGGAGCATTGTATGCCTGAAACACAGTCATAAATAACTTTGTAATTTCAGGGTGAATTTTTAAGAAAGGGAACTTGTTTGAGGGTGAAAAGAGTTTGGGCCACACTCAGCTGTGCTTAGGGGCAGCTGTGACTCTGTGCTCAGGAGCAACTCCTGACTATATATGGTGCCAGGGTTCAAACTAGGGGTGGCCACTTGCAAGGCTCATGCCTTAGACTTGTACTATCTCTTTGATCTCCACCCTCTTCTGTTTTGGGGGGAAAGAATATGCTTTCTCATAGCTCTTGATTTTTCTGTCTTTCCACAGAAATCAGCATTCTGATGACTTGCTCCCCTTGCATTCTGATGATTTGATCCCCTGAATCCCACAGAATCTGAAAATTAAGTGGTGTCCAGACTGCTAGTTCAGTGGTTAGGGCACTTGTCTTGCACGTGCCCACCTGGGTTTGATCCTCAGCATCCCAAATGGTCCCCTGAGCATCCCAGGGGTGATTCCTGAGTGCAGAGCCAGGAAAAGCACTGCCAAGTGTGCCCCCTCCACCCCCACCCCAACAGCAACCCCAAATTAAGTGAAAATAAGGACCATTCTACTAAGTCCCTATCATGAAGCCCCAATCCGGAAGAACTGGATTCTTCAGGAATAAGAGAGCTGCTGTTTGTTGGGCACTGGATGATAAATCCCTTGCTTGCACTTTGACCCATCCTCAAAGAGTGATGCAGCTAATTAAAATAAATTTTTTTTTTCTCTTTGGGTCACATTCAACGATGCTCAAGGGTTACTCCTGGCTCTCACTCAGGAATCATTCCTGGAGGTGCTTGGGGAACCCTCTGGGATGCCGGGGATCAAACTGGGTTGGCTGTGTGCAAGGCAAGTGCCTTATTCCCTGTGCTATCCCTCCCACAACCCCGATAGTTTTCTCTTCTCCCCTCCCTGCCTTTCTCTTCCCTCCCCTCTTCTCCCCTTCCCTCCCCTCCCCTCCCCTCCCCTCCCCTCCCCTTCTCACCTCTCCCTTTTTTCCTTCTTTTTGTTTTTTTTGGGCTACACATGTCTCTGTTCATGGCTTACTCCTGGCTCTGTGCTCACGAATTCATCTTGGTGGGTCTTGGGAGACCATCTGGGACTCAGGGGATCAAACCCAGGTCATCTGTATGGCAGGTGCCCTACCTGCTATACTATCAGTCCAGCCACCTCCCCCCATAAGTTCTTTCTTGTTCGTTTGATTGTTTGTTTTGGCCATATGCAGTGCTCAGGGTTTACTCCTGGGTCTGTGTTCGGGGTTCACTCAGTTACTCCTGGTAGTGCTCTGGGGACCATATGGGACACCGGGGATCTAATCCAGATCTACTGTGTGTAAGACAAATCAAATGCCCCACCTGCTGTATTATAGCTAAGGGCTTGAAGAGCAGCCACCTTTAGGCAGGCTTTTGCCCAGACAAGTTTCATCATGGTCCTCCACCCTCACGTTCCTTCGATAGTAATCTTGAAATTCCTAACTCTGCTCATCTAATCCGCCCTAATTTCAATGTCAGCTTTTAATTTTCTTATGAAGTTGATTATAACAGTACTACAAAAAAAGAGAAAATGTTTTAAAAAGCACACTGAAATGTACCCGTTTTGAATAAGTCTTGGCAGAGGACACAGTGTAGACAGAGCTCTACAGTTTTTTCCACGTCGCCGACCACCCCTTGCCCTGTATAACAGTCCACACACCAGCACTTCAACCCAGGTGGAAGACCAGCGATTTTCAACATTTCCACAGCTGCAAATTGGCACTGGTGTATGAACTGCTGGTTGAAGAAAACTGGGATAGCACATATGTATTATGAATGTTTAGCCTGAAACTCCCATGTATAGTTGTAAACCAGTGTTACCCAAATAAAAATTAAAAAAAAAAATACAGAATCCTGGAACTTACCTAATGAAATAGGTTTAACAAGTAATATGCTACTAGAAAAATAAAATAGAATTACATATTTTGGCGTATCAGGAGAATAGAATCATTTGCCTTTTAAGTCACATGACTGTGAGCTACTAGTGGCACACACCACGCCAATTGGTTAGTGACCTATGGGGTGCTGGGGATTAAATCTGGGTGTGCTTCGTGCAAGGCAAGTGCCCTATCTACTGCATTATTCCTCAGGCCCTGACCATATTATTTCTTTTTGAAATATGAAGTTAATGCTCATCTTCCTGAAGCTTATAGTTTGAGACCTTGACCTTCATGTTAGATACGTTCCTGCTCCCAGGTCCATCACATTTATTTGTTTACTTGTGAGAGAGGGGGGAGATTAGACCATCCCTGGCAGGGTTTTGGCAATTTTTGGCTCTGTGCTCAGGACTGACTCCTCGTGGGGTTGGTCGGGGCGGGGAGGTGGGTGGGTGGGGGGGCCTGGCAGAAACATATGTAGTGCCAGGGATTTGAACCAAGGTTGCAGCTGCTATAGCTACCTGCAAAATAAGTACCTTTTTACCTTCTCTTCACCTCCAACTCCCTTTTTTACAAAACAGTTTTAGAAATCATACATGTTCTTTGTGGATAACTTGAAAACCTTTAAAAAAAAATGGTTGGGCCACATCTGGCAGTTCTCAGGGCCTATTCCTGCTCTGCACTCAGGGGTCACATAGGGTGCTGGGGATTGGAACCTCGGTGAGCCACATGCAAGGCAAATTTCCTATCCAGTGTACTACTGCGCTGGCCCCCAAGCTTAGACACTTGATAAGAGCAGACGAAAGAATGTGATCCTTCTGCTCATAGTCAACATTTTGTTGTATAGAATCTTGTCCTCTAGGTTTACATATATGTTCATAAGTTTCATATTTATCAAATTTCAAGTCCTTTCTAAAAGTCTTCAAACTGATTTAATAGTGGTTTTCTCTTATATTTTCTCATAAAATATAATATATAAAATATATAAAAAATAATATATAAATAATAAAATAATATAAAAATATATATTCTCATAAAATATAATATATAAATATAATAAACCACTCTTATATTTAATAGTGGTTTCTCTCAAATATTTTCTTATACGATGAAATATTTGAGATTAATACATTACTTTATAAATTTGTTATTGCAGACTTGATGTGGTTGTATTTTTGTTAAGTAAATGATGTAGGGTAGGCAGAAAGTGAGTGATTAATTTTGCTTTAGTAATTGAGGCAAGAGATATTGGAAGTCATGGTTGGAAGCCTGCCTCATGAGTGGGGAGAAGGCAGCTGGAATAGAGACGAGATCACTAAATCAATGATGGTTGGAGGGATTGATCCGGATGGGAGATGTGTGCTGAAAGTAGATCAAGGACCAAATGTGATAGCCTCTCAGTATCTGTATTGCAAACCATAATGCCCCAAAGTAGAGAGAGCATATAGGGGAAATTGTCTGCCATAGAGGCAGGAGGAGGGTTGGGAAGGGGTAGGGTATACTGGGGACATTTGTGATAGGAAATGTACACTTGTTGGAGGGATGGGCGTTCGATTATTGTATGACTGAAACTCAAGCATGAAAGCTTTGTAACTGTATCTCATGGTGATTCAGTGAAAAAAATAAAAGAGAGATAATAGAAGTCAGATAAAGATTCCCTGGAATTTTTTGCTGTTGGCTTTCACCATTCAGTCAGTCTTTAGCTAGTGAAAGAAGATATTGACTTCTGTCCCATTGAAACCCTTTCTTTAATGTTTCACTGCAGAAATAATTTTTAAAATGTTATAATTAAGATCTAATAAATTTCTCTCATCACGTCTCACAGTTAGGTACTTATACATTATAGAGCTATTTTGTCTGTTACTCCGTTTTGAGAGTATCTTGCCCGCACGGCAAAGCCTGGCAAGCTACCCGTGACGTATTCGATATGCCAAACACAGTAACAAGTCTCAAAATATTACTGGGCCCGCTCGAGCAAATTGATGAACAACGGGAGGACAGTGACAGTGACTCAGTTTTAAAAGTTTTAATCCTTTCACCTTTTGGGTAAAGCTTAACTTGGAGTTATGGTGATTGAAGCCAGATCAGTGCACTCGAAAGAGACTGGTATGTAGACAAAACAGTAGACAATTAAGGATGTTAATTATTAGACATTATTGTCTTTAATCTATCTGAAAACTGAAAATATTAATCCTTTTTAACCCTTCATTGTTTTAAAAGCTTCTTAGAGACTAACTGGATTGTGATTTTTTTTTGAGCTCAGAGACTCTCAGGTATGTCTCTGAATCCCTGGACCTTTAGGAATAGCCTTTTTTATTTAGAACCTCAGTTAGTTTAGTTAGAAACTCAGACATGTTTATGGGCTGTGTTTGGGTGTGTGTGGTGTGATCCTACAATGATTTTGTGAAGCTTTTGGCTAAATTGAAGCTTTAAATGGGTTTCTTGTTCTTTTTTTTTTTCCTTTTTGGGTCACACCCAGCGATGCACAGGGGTTACTCCTGGTACACGCATTCAGGTATTACTCCTGGCTGTACTTGGGAGACCACTTGGGAGACCATATGGGATGCTGGGAATCGAACCCAGATTGGCCGCGTGCAAGGCAAATGCCCTACCTGCTGTGCTATTGCTCCAGCCCTGGATATTCTTGTTCTTAAGTGACTTTTTTTTTTTTTTTGCTAGCTTGTTAGATCTAGCCAGCCTATTTCTCAGCATTGAATAGTACTGTTATAACTTTTATTCTTTGATCACATTAAAACTTGGTTGGAATGAGAAGAACTAATAGTGTGCTCTTCTTTTCTCTTAGATTCATGCCCGCAACCAAAATGAAATAATTTTCGGACTGAATGATGGCTACTATGGTGCTCCATTTGAACAAAAGGTAAGAGGATTTTCCTGATGCAGTGAATTTTACATTGTGCAGTTGTTCGCCGTGGTGTCAATGGTAAAAAGTTCTGTGTAAATAGAACCATGTTTACATATGCCATTGTGAAATTGCTGTCTAGTGAGCCTTTGGTTAAATGCTTGATATTTAAATTTTTTTCCCTTTCACTCAGTTGCAATATCTGTGGTTATGTACATGATACCGTGCTGGACGTCACATGTGCCTATGATGTTCACTGGGGTCACACAATTGGTTGTGGGGCTTACACACTTGGTTATAGTGTGCCAGGAGTTGAACATTTACTGTGGTGTTAGGGATCTTAGCATCTGTTTCTGGGATTGTACTCTAGGATGTGAGTGTGCAATTGGGATTGGATTTATAGCCCCCTGCAAGGTAGGTGCTCTGCCCAGTCAGCCCCAACCCCCATTTCCTTGAGTGAATGCCTGTTTTTTTTTTTTTTGTCTCTTTCTTTTGGTTTTCTTGGGCCACACCTGGCAGTGCTCAGGACTTCCTCCTGGCTCTAGGCTCAGGGATCACTCCTGGCAGGGATTGGCGGAACAGATGGGGTGCTCCTGATTGAACCTAGGCTAGCTGCATGCAAGTGACAAGTGCCCTATTCGTTGTACTGTCTCTCCAACCCTTGGGTGAGTGCTTTTCGATTTTTGGACCATACCTGGCAGTGCTCAGGGGCTTCTCCTGGCTCTGTGTTCAGGAATCACTCCTGGCGGTGCTCAGGGGAACATATGGGATGGCGAGAATTGAACCTGGGTCAGTCCTGGGTAGGCCGCATATAAGACAAGCACCTTCCCTGCTTTACTCTCTCTCCTACCCCAGGTGAGGACTTTTTTTTTTAAGTGAAAACTTAGTTTGTAATTAAGGAGATGAACTCCCATTAGTCCTTTCTAAATCCAGTTCTATTAATTTTACTAGCAGAAAATCTGAATTAGTTGATTTCTCTTACTCTTCATATTCTGGTTTTTTTTTGGGGGGGGGAGGGGGCAGTTGGGGGGATACACTGAAAGGTGCCCAAGAGTTACTCTTGGCTCTGCATTTGAGAAGTATCCCTGGTGGGCTCAGGGGACATTATGGGTTGCTGGGGTTCGAACCCAGGTTGGCCACATGCAAGGCAAGCATCCTCTCTGCTGAACTCTCTTGGGTCCCTCTTCGTAATTCTTTGGGTTTAAAAAAAAACAAAGAATGCTGAGCTATATGGCTTAATATAATGCAATCTTATTAAAAGTTTAAGTATCTTTTTCAACTTTAAAACCTGTTTTAGGATGGGGCTGGAGCGATAGCACAGCGGGTAGGGCGTTTGCCTTGCATGCGGCCAACATGGCCGACACAGGTTCGATTCCCAGCATCCCATATGGTCCCCTGAGCACCGCCAGGGGTAATTCCTGAGCGCAGAGCCAGGAGAAACTCCTGTGCATTGCTGGGTGTGACCCAAAAAGCAAAAAAAAATTAAATAAATAAAAAAAAACCTGTTTTAGGATATCCATATAAATTATTGCCTTAGGCTGACCCTCCCTTCCCCCCCTCCCACATCCTCTCCAATTCCTGTCCTCTTTTTGTCTTCCTCCCTCTCTCCTTCCCTCCCTGTTGAACTCTTCCCTTCCTATTGAACTCAGGACTCCACGTTTTTAGGCATGCACTGTGCCTACCCCTGAGCCACTCACTGTCCAGCCCTATTAATTATTTTTAACCTCCTTTAGAAACTAAGATGCTAAAAGTTGAGGATTTGGGTACATCAAAATCAATAATAACGCTTCTTTGTTTTCTTCTTTTGAATCATCTTTATTTCTTCATCTGTAAGTAGGAATAACAATTTCTACCTCATTGTGATTTTTTTTTTGGTTTCGTTTATTTTTTGGGCCCTTTCTGGTGGTGCTCAGGGATTATTCTTGGCTTGGTGCTCAGATGATCCGCCTAGTGGGCTAGGGGGACCATATGGGTGCTCTGAATGGAACCTGGGTCAGCTGTGTGCAAGGTAAATGCCCTGCCTGCTGTACTAGTTTTCCAGCCCTGTGAATTGTTTTAAGGAATTAATAATATATATTGCAAGTTTGACACATTCATTTATAAATGAAAATTACTACCCATTCCACTCTCTGATATTGATAGTTGCATCTTTAATGTTTATCAATGTCGCGGCATCATATTCCTTGTAAAGTGCTTAGCATGTAGAAGGTGCTTATGTTAAATTATTTAGCTTGCTCTTATTAGGACTAGCATAGCAATGATTGACATAAAATATCTTGAGGGGATGGGATTTCTCTTCCGCCCTCCTTTCTAACCCTGGTCCCAGTTTTCTGAGTTTTATAAACTCATACTGTCATATTGACCCTACTGTTGTGATCCTCATTGAGTACAAATGGCATTAGGCTGGGAAATATTCTTTTCGCAGACTGAAAGACACATTAGCAATGTTTTCACAGTCCAGTAGATGGCAATGCGTTCACATTTAATAAAGAAGTAAGGACTAGAATCTAAATAAAAAGGACCAATACTTTTTGGAGTGAAATAGAAATTGGGTGATTAGTTTCACAAATGTAGTCATGTAACCTTTTCACCTTAAATATATAGTCAAACCAAGCTGAGATCAAAGATTTAGGGGACTGGAGCAAACCAGGACTTATTTTGAGAGTCTGTGAGAAACCTATTTTTCAAGTCATGATACTATTGAAAGTAGGAAACCTAAAATCAAATCCTGTTTTCTAGTACTTGTTCCTTGCGCAGACCACTTCATCTCTCTTAATTTTAGTTTTCTTATTTCAAAATTGAGGACATTGAATCTGCTGATCCACACTGGGATTAGAGTGATCTATCTCAGTACCCTTGTTTTCTGAATGAAGAAACCGATGAACTCAGGGAACCCTATGACCTCTTGAACTTGACATCACAAGTTAGTTTCATCTTACAGATGATAATGTAGATATAGCTATAATTACCTCATATAATCATACATTACATATGAGTAGTTTTGCTCTCATAAACTTATTGCCTACCTTCATAACTCTTATCAGAATTTGTGAGGCAGGTTGATCAGTTATTGGTTGTATGTCATTGTAGTAGTACCAGGTATTCAATAAGTGTGATAAGAATGTGGGGAATAAATGACTGGCCAGCACATCAGGATGGGTTAGTGGGAGAACCAGGATCATAACACATATCTCTCTTTCTAGACATGTCTTTTTTTAGTTATACTGTGTCTCCTATGAAAGAGTGATGGTGAGATGATTGCTATCCTTTAATTTCTTTTTGAGGTTTCTCCCATTATTTAATTGATTGTGATCCTGAATAAAGGCTGCTGGAGATATCTTTAATTTGCAGGACTCAGGGAAGCAGCTATTAGAAACCCAGAAAAGTTAGAGATTTCCATTTTATTAATTTTACAGAACCGAGAAATCAGACACAAGACTCGTAGTCAGACTCGTGGAAACTCGCAACGCCCACAGGATGCACAAAGAGGATGTTCAGAGATAGGGATTGAGTATCGTAAATCTTAACAACAGAGAAAGGGGTATGATTTGATTTCTGTTTTGGTCTCCTAGTACATTATCAAGTGAAAGTTGGAAAATCATAGAAAAAGCTAATTTCCACAAACAGTGTTCAGTTTTCTTTGGGTGTCCCCCTCTAAAAAAGAAGCAAACAAACCTCTCTTTACAAAATACAAGAAACAAGTCTGGACAAATCCTCAGGGGCTTTTTCTAATTAGTTGTAAAATTAGAATATCTGAGGTTGGTTTAAATCAGTATTACACCTTGTTTCTCAATGCTTTGTGCTGGTATGATAATTCTAATAACATGATTACACCAGAGTTTGTGAAAACTACTCTTGCTCGTTTTCATTTCCTGAGTACTGACTATATATCGACACTTACCATACCAGCTACTTGTTTATTTATGTATAACTCCCTGAAGTAGTTATTATCTTCATTTTGTAAAAAGTCTTACCCAGATTTCCAGAGCTAGGAAGTTAGCAGATCTTCTTTTAACCCAGCTCTGACTTATTCAAAGGCTGCTTTTCTTAGCCATTGTGTAACCTGGCATCATTACTTTGCTTTTTCTTTTTTGGCCTTATTTGGGGCCACACCTGACTCTGCCAGGGATCACTCCTGATTGGCTCCTGGTGAACCCGGGTCCCGTGTGTGCAAGACAGACATTTTACCCACTGTCCTCTCTCTCCGGCCACATCACTGCTTTTCTTACCGCTTGATACAGTATGCCAGACTACCAAGACTTTCACATTTAGTGAAAGATGCTCCCATGTGCATTATGAAAATCAACTGATAGCACACAGGAAAGTTTCAGTGGTATAAAGTACGTTACTATACAGATGTTGTACATTTATTGTTCTGGAGTAGGCTTCTAATGCCCATAAGGCAGTGAACCCACCAAAGTCAACAAAAATTATATGGATTAGTCTTCTGATGGCTGCCTTCAGAATCCTTCCCCCCCACCCCCTCCCCCCGCTTTTTTCTTTTGGATCAAATTAATTCCTGGCAGATGCTTGGAAAATCTTCTTATCCTGTAATTCATATTTATAAATCCTACTGCTGCAGTGTGGTCTCCATTTTCTCTCTTCCCTGAAGCCAGAGAATAATCTGGGAAAATGCCATGTTTCCTGTTATGAATTTGGAGGATCTTGTCTCTTAGACACTTTTTGAGCTTTTCAGTATTTTAATATTGGAAAAGTCTAAGCCAAGCATGATTCTTATAGATGTTTGAGATTCTTGAAAAGAAAACAGAGCTCCAGACGCAGCCTCACTGGAGGATTCTGAGAGTTGAAATTTTGGCTTTATTTAAAAATTTGAAACTTGATTTTATTATATTGTACTCTCAGATTTTTTTAATGAGGGAATTTTTTTTATTTCCCTGCATGCCCTCCCCCCACCTCATCAAATTAAATCTAAACTGTTCTTCTAAAGAGTGGAATCCTTCCCTTAAAAAATTTCTTCACTAATCCTTAATTAATTTAATATCAATTTTGCCCTTTTT